ATGCTCCAACCAGAAGGTTTTGAAGAAAAAGGAAAAGAGAACTTGGTTTGCAGGTTGAACAAATCTCTATACGGTCTCAAACAGGTGCCAAGATGTTGGTGTAAAGATTTGATTCCTTCATCATGAGTCTTGGATACAATAGACTCAGTTCAGATCAGTATGCTTACTACATGAGATTTGGAGATAGTGATTTCATTATTCTGTTGTTGTATGTTGACAACATGTTGGTAGCAGGCTCCAACAAAGATCGTATTAAAGACTTGAAGGAACAATTGGCTGGGAAATTCGAAATAAAGGACTTGGGATCAGCAAATAAGATTCCAGGGATACAAATTTACCGAGAAAGAAATAATAAGAAGAACTATTTGAAGAAAATCTTATGGCACTTCAATATGAAAGATTGTAAGCTAATTTCTACCCATCGTCTTATCAATTTCAAGTTATCCTCAAGTATGAGTCATAGCAATGAAGCGGTGATGATGGAGATATCTCGAGTACCGTATCCATCAGCAGAGGTAGCTTAATATTTGTTATGATTTGTACAAGACCAAACATTGCACAAACAGTGAAAGTGGTTAGTCTATACATAGTGAATCTTAGTAAAGAGCATAGAAGCATTGTAAAGAGGATCTTGAGATATATCAAGGATATCTCAAATGCTACATTATGTTATGGAGGATCACATTTTGTTGTCAAAGTCTATGTTGATTCAGATTATGCAGTTGATCTTGACAAAAGNTGCACAAGCAGTGGGAGTGGTTAGTCGATACATGGCAAATCCTGGTAAAGAGCATTGGAGTGTCCTGAGATATGTCAAGGGTACCTCAAATGCTAAATTATGTTATGGAGGATCAGATTTTGTTTTCAGAAGCTATGTTGATTTAGATTATGCAGGTGATCTTGACAAAAGTAAATCCATCATGAGTTATGTGTTTTCACTTCTTGAAGGAGCTGTAAGCTGGGTTTCAAAACTACAATTTGTTGTGGCTACTTCTACGATAGAGACAGAGTACGTAGCAGTTACACAAGTTAGCAAAGAGACAATCTGGTTGCAAATATTAATGGAGGAGCTTGGACACAAACGAGAAGATTGCTCTATTTTTTTTATAGTCAAAGCGTTTTGCACTTGACAAAGAATCCAACATTTCATCAGAAGACAAAGCACATTCGAGTTCAATATCACTTTGTTCGAGAAAATGTAGAATAAAGAAGTGTGGATATACAGAAAATTCATGCAGAGGACAATTTAACAAAGCAAATAAGTACTAACAATTTTACATGGTGTTGATCATCCATCGGCCTAGTGGAAATGTAAGTAGCATGAAAATTGTAAGTGTAGGAAGGATAGAGTGGGAGTAATGTTAACCAAAATAAAGCTACTTTTGTAGCCACTTTCTTTGACTAAATGAGGCAGCCATTTTTTTTCAATTCAATGGGAAACGGAAAGAAGTTATTAGGAGCCACCTTTGACAAAAATAAGATTATACTAATCATGCACTTTACTATGCATTAAATGCCAACAGTGATTGCATTTAATGTAAAGAGTGAAAATTGGAATGGCCTTTCTTCAGCCGTAAAATGTATTGGAAATGCAGCAATCCTTCACAGGTTTCATTGAAATTTTGGTTCTGCAATTAATGAAAGCAGTGGAACTTTCATTATAAATAGAAGGTTGCAACTGGGGAGAAATGCATGCAACAATTGTAGAGAGGATTGAAAGAATGGAGAGCTATATAAATTATAAAGAGATTTTTTTTTAAGTATTTCCTATTTAGTTTCTTCTATTACAAGAGATATTAATCATTGTTATCTCCTCATTTTTAGAGATAAGGTTATTGTTTTTCTTACTATAGTGAAATCCTCGTATACTTGCTCGTGGAGGTAACCTAAAACGTTTCTCTCTCTTTGTGCCTTCCATATTTTCTTGAAGGTGAATTATATGGATTCAAAAATCAAAATCTTTATTCTTGGAGGCCATCTGAATTAGCTTTAGCAATAGCAATGTATGTTTCAGGGGAAGAAATGCAGACATATGACACTATCTGGTTCTCTAAGAGTAGAGAAGGGAAGAGTGCTGGAGTGCATTGAACTTGTTGGGAGTAAAAGAAGTCCCACATCGGCTGGACATGGGAAAAATGATAGGTTTATAAGGAAGGACAAATATCTTCATTGGTATGAGGCCTTTTGGGTAGTAGCCAAAAGCAAATTCGTGAGGGCTCAGGCCCAAAGTGAACAATATCATACCAATGTGGAGTTTGGAGTGTCCTAACAAGTGGTATCAGAATAATACTCTTCATCCAAAGTTCTCTTTGTAAGCAGAAACTTTGATCAACTGTTTGGTTCGTGGGTTTGTGTTTGGATTTTCTCTTTGTCGTGTCAATTGATCAATACTGAGCCGGATTTCTTGGTGCAACTGGCGTTATATTCTTCACATATAGTATCAGAGCGATTGGTTGAGGAGAATATCTATTGAAATCTAATGAGGAGGCGAAGTAGCGCTCGCGGCGCTCTCGGGCTTCTCACGATTTTTTGTCTCTATTTTTTAAAAGCCCGGCCAACCTATTGACCGGATTGAAAATTGAGGACGGACCCACTCCCTGCAGATCGAGGCGCTTCTAGTGGTGGTGGTGATTTTTCTGACGGCGGCGCGTAGGCGATTTCCGGCCAACTTTTTTCAAGCAATTTGTTTATTTTATCCACCTGAACGTACTAATATTGTTACTTTAGTGTTTCAGGTTTTGCATAAAATATTGAACGATTCTACCCTTTGGTGATTGATATAGATTCGACACTGTAACTGCACAACACATTTACTGAA